ATTACTGCTAGCGGTCACTGTTGCAAATGTTACCCGATGCCAGCCAAATGCAGCGACTAGAGGTGCGGTTTCCATGGCAACGGTGTAAATAAGAAGTCTCAATGAGTCATGATTGGGTCTCGGTCCCTGCTTACAACATGTTTAGATGTAAGTTTTAATACATTTGGTACAAATGAATAATAAATTCATAATTCATTCATAAAGAAATTACTTTTGATAGTTATGATACAAACTTCCGGATAATTTTTTTAATATTGAAAATTGCGATTTTGCTATATCAAGTGTGTTTGTGGACGTTGTAATTTTGGGGAAGGGGGGGCACATGCCCTTGTACCCTCCAGCACCTGACGTCCCTGATTAATATTAACATTATTATTATTTCAACGTCCTTCTTTAAAGTTATCAAACAGCTGCTTTGCGTTTTATTCTTTTAGTAACACTAGAGTTGAATCGAACGGGATAATTCCTTAGTATTTTTTTTTAAACCGTGACCCTTCTTATTTTTTAATTTGTAGATAGAAGTTCAAACAAAAAAAATACTCCTATTATAATTTTTAAAAAAGCGGAATTTATCGGACTCATATACTTACATGTCATCACTTTCCACCGTTGGACAATAAATTTATTACTAATATAATTTGGTAATATTAGCACTATAACCCGAGTACTTTGGTTTATTTGTAGAAAACGTTGTCAATAATTTAATAGATATTTATTTACTGCATGCAACGTCGATTAAAAGTGTCACAAAAAGTCTCTGATAAGAAGTGCGGTGAAAATTTTTTGTTACTTCATGTCGCGCAACGAAATTAAATGCGTTTAGACGCAGTACATTTTTGACTTTGGTGAGTGTGTGTTCCGTTCGCAAAGTGGTTTGTTTATTTGATTTAATTTTGTTAAAAATACTTAGCTTTTTCTGTGCTAAAATATCTGTGCCGTGAGGATCTTCAGGGATCGGCTCAGGAGGAAAGGAAACGCGGATTTAAAAGGTAAATGTGGCTATTACGCTTATTTATCAATTTGTTATTTGTTGTACTGTTAATAGATTTTTAATTTAAATATGTGTGTAATAAAGTCAAACTATAATGAAGTGTACAAGGCAAATTCGTGTTATTTTAATAAAAATTGTAGGTACACATTATTTTGTTGCAAGTATCAGTGGCGGTTCGTAACCCAATTAATAAACGAAATTGTGTGACGGAAATACCTAAATACAAAAGTACATTCAATAAAAAGGAAAAACTTGTTCACATACCTTTGGTTTGAAATCATTACTGAGGAGACACACAAAACAAAACAATATTATTATTTTTTTCACAACCATACAATCCATACATTCACAAAAATTTACCATACTAATGTCTATTAAAATATCTATAAAAATCTCTCGTTTTGTCATGAACACTTTTTTTTATTAGGGGTGGCTCTCCCTAAATTTTTCACTAAAATTTTACCGTCGTAAGACAGAGGATGATTTTTTATTAAATATTCAACTGAATTCATTATTTTTATTTAAAATCAAATAGTTCCACCCGCAACTGTGTTACCTCTAATGGTTACTGTTTGAGCAGGACCCGATTCCAGACAAATACAACGACTAGACGCACGGTTTCCATTGCAACCGTGTAAACAAAGCGTCAAATGAGTCATGATTTGGTCTCCGCTTTTATCAGCGCTGCAGCAACATATCATATATCCAAGACAGAAAATCTTTAGAAGTAAGTTTTGATACATTTTATAAAAAATGGACCGAGATAAAAAAATTAGTTTTGTTAATTATGACACAAATTTTCGGATAATTTTTTGAATATTGAAAATTACTATTTTGCTATGTCCAGTGTGTTTGTAGACGTTGTAATTTGGGGGGAGGCACGTGCCCGTGTGCCCCCTGGCACCAGCCGCCCCTGAGAAACAATGAAAATTAAAGACAAACAGGCGATAACAATGCATAAATAGAAGAGAAATCCATGAAATGATGATCCATCTTGACACATAATAATTAGTAACAAATGTATTTCAAGTAAATAATAAAAAGATGAAGCTTTTAATTTTGCGTTTTTTCAGGTTTTCTAGACAATTCATAATGCTCTAATCGCTTTTTTCGGTTCTTAAATAAAAAACTGGGCCAAATTTTTACACGAACTACAGTTTACCTACAACTTGTTTACATTATACCTAGAAATAAAGTATACTACATCATAAACTTAAATAACTAATTTAGTCGCAAAAGTTTATTTTTATTACACCATTTCGCATTTTTCATCATGTTTTTTTTTCTCAGTTAAAACCACTACAGAATGTTTTTATTCTACCACAGTAATTTATCTTCGGAAGTCTTTCAAACAAAAAATTTCTTAAATTTTGCAAAACCTGTGTGTTACACGTCATCAGAATGATATTGATGATGGTTAAAAATTCAAGGAAAGGTTTCTTTCACATTAACGCTGATACTGAAAACTGGTAAGGTAGACAAAATGATTAATAATTACAAATACCTTTACACTAAAAGCAGCTTAATAGTTTCCATAACATTAAAGAATTTCATCATTAAGGAATGGTTTGGTTACACGGTTTGTGTGAATCAAATGAAAACTAAAAAGACAATTTATTTTTAAATAACTTGTATATTCACGAGTAGGTAAAAATTTGAGTTAACCACTTTCTTTTGTGATGACCCGATAAAACTAAGAAATCAAGTTTATACAGGGAATTAAAGGTAAGTGCAGTAAAATTTTAGGGAATGCAAGTTAGCTTTATTATTTTTAGTTTTATTATTACATCTTTAGAAATAAATACTTTCATACAGCACGTTTCAGCGAAAGTTTCTGATGGTAGTTTTTCTATACTACTGATATTTTTCTGAAAAAGAATCGCCAACCATTTTCAAGTTATTTCTATTGTCTCAGTTTTCAAATTGCGAATTCTTGTAAAACTTCGCAGCTATCTTTATTATTAGTGATGCAAAGTTGTAACATTTTTTGATGAACATCTTATAAGAAGAAAAAATTATGTTAAAGATTAAACACTAATGATAATTGGACGTTATATCTGGCAATTTTAGCAATCTCTCTTGAAAAATTGAAGAAAAAATCATCGTCAAACAATAAGCTTTGTTATGTTGAAACATTTTTTATTTTCGACATGTATTAATTTACTTGTTGCAAAATCTGGTTTTTAGTTATTTATCACAAACAAAAAGTCAGTTACGGAAATTTGCAATCAAATCCACTTGCAAAAGATGACTGATATCATATTTTCTAGACGTTTCCTAGCTCTTAGAATTTGAAAAAGCAGATCTCCAGTTTCCGTCTGTCTATCATCTGAATCGCCGATACTATTGGAGTGAAATTTGGTGAAGTCACCTCGAAATTTTGCCAAATATATCACATATAAACGTGCAAAATAATATGTGTCTGATAAGTGTAATTTATTAATCTACTCTTATTTTCATGTTTATGCATGCAGATTTTAGGAAAACAATAAAAATTTTGTAGCAGAATCTAATAACAATTTTAGAATTTAACTGAGAAACTAGGTATAAAACCATGTTATAAAATGTCGTATACAATTTAAAATTGTTGCGAACACATTTTAATTTAAATTGTAATTAAATAAGTTACAACAAAGTTCAATATAATAACAAAATAATTATATACCTATGAGACAAACGTAAATGATATTATAATATCTAAGCAAAAATAGTTAAAAAAATTGGTTGAAGGTTATTTCTACAGAACTACCCTCCCTCCTGAAGTACAATAAAACATAACCAACTTTTTCGAAAAATTATAAAATTTGATTTTGCGAATTTAATTTTTTTATGAGAACCTCTATAAGATGTAATAAATATATGTATGTTAAAGTAAATGTAAAGAAGCGTGAGTTAAGTTTTGGGACCTTTGTACTTTAAGAAAATATATTCAAATAAAATTTGATACTTTTATTATAATTTACAGTTTATTATTAATTTACAGTACGATGTGTAAATCTCCTGAAATATGGAAACTATCAATAGTATCTCCAATTTTTAAAAAAAGGATTTAGGTGTCACTTTTGATAATAAGCTCAGGTTTGCTAATGATATGGAGGGTATAAGTAACAGTGCTTTGAAGTCACTTGGTTTTATTATAAGGTGTGATAGAGATTTTACGCAGGTTGATAGCCTGCGATCGTTATACTTTGCTTATGTTTGCTCAAAGCTTGAGTATGCATATATAGTATGGGCTCCTTTCTAACAAAATCGTATTGACTCGCTAGGAAAATAACAACGACGCTTTTTAAAATACGCAGTCTTTAAAGAGGATAGTGTTTATCCTGTACGAGGTATTCCTCACTCTGTATTGTTAGAGCGGTTCAAAGTTGAAGCCTTGAGTACTAGAGGCTGCATCGCCTCGTTAAAATTTCTTCGAAACTTGATAAATTTCCACATTGATTGCACTGATCTTCTTGGTAAGATATTCATTTTGGTTCCTAGAATGTCGTCTCATTACTATCAATGTTTTCATTTTCCAACATCTCGCTTAAATATTGAAAAATATTCCCCAGTTTATGAAATGTGTCACCAGTATAACTTAAATCCAAATGTCTTCGATATTTTTGGGTAACATTGTCTTGTCTTACTGTTTCCTTTTATTTTCGCATTAACTGAATCTTGATATCACCTTAACATGTTGAACTCTTATTAAAGAACTGCAGTAATTATAGCTGCAGTGTCATCTTTTTTTCCATGTTGGGGCCTATTTTAGTTGAGTTGGACTTAGATCTGTTGGTCAACTTACTAGATAATAATATATATATATTAGCACTGCAGACCTTGATGGCCCTGAGCTTTTCTTCTTTATTATTATTTATGTTTATTAAAAATAATTGCACTTATTAAATAAGGCCATATTTACAAAAATTTATTCACAATACAAGTTAATTGTGTAGATCAACATAGCACTGAAAGATAAATAGATCACTCATAGAACATAGTTTTGCCCTGGCGTTACCAGTTGCATTTAATTGGCAACAGCGGTGGCTCTCTTTATGTGTTTTTTGAAGAAATGCTTGCTTTTCTTAGTTTCTTGTTTCATACAATCATTTTTTTCCTTTTTTAAATGTTCTTTAAACGTTTTAAACCAACCAGGTTTTTTCTTTTTCTTAGTATCTGAAATCTTTTCTAAATTATCAGCACTTGTGCTTGGGTTTAGAGGTGGTTCATTTATGACATCCAAATTATTCAAGTTACCCACACTGTTACTATGTATATTTTACAGCCTGATGTATTGGTTTTAATCTGCACTCCTTATTTTCTTGAACAACTGATCTAATTGCCTGTCCTTTATCAGATTTAGATCTCGTGACTTTCATTTTTTCAAGATCTCCAACTCTTATGCTATCTCGCAAACGGTCCCAAAAATTAAAATGCGCCATGCGTTTGTAGTTTAAAGTAAACATGTATTTAATGTTAGCAAGTTGAATTGTTAGGTCTTTATAAACAATAGGCGCAATTTTTCTTTCTTTATCTATCCCAAAGGCATGTGCAAATCTGACCAAATAATCATTCACAGAAATTTTAAAAAAATTATCTGATAAAATAACAACCACTCTGTTACAACGCTCTGTAATCAGAGTGATCATTTTGTCCATTTACAGTCCCCCTCCTACTAAATCACGATCTTTACAAATGAATCTCATATTATAATCTTTTTCCGTGGTTTCCAAAACTTGGATAGCGAAATCGATGTCATCCTGGTCATACAACAGAACGGCATCATAATTCACGGAACATCCTTCACTAACTCTTTCAACATCATCCGTTGTGATACAGTAAAAGTATTCAACTATTATACGGTCATCTTTTAAACGCCTTATTTATTTGATGAAAGTAAACCGACATCGCTAATTGATTGACAGTCGACGTAATTTTCTGACCATGGTTTTCTATTGGGTGCGGTCGGCAGCTTTGCTTTTCCAATCTTCGATACCCATTTCCTGTAGATCCCTTTTCACGTCTTCCAGCCATCTCAGTTTTGGTCGTCCTTTCTTTTTCTTCCCACCTTGTGGACGATTCAACACTTTCCCGATGGTTCTATCCTCAGATACTCTTTCTATATGACCTAACCATCTCTTATTTGCGCTCTAATTATCTTGGTAATTTTCGGTTCTCCATATACTTCTTCCACTTCCTTATTTGTTGTTCTTCTCTATTGTTCTTCTGTTCCCATTTTTTTTTGTTAGAGTCTAAATTTCGCAGGCATATAGTACTGTAGGTCTTATCACCGTTTTGTATACTTGTTTCTTCGTCTGTCATGTTACATTTTTGCTTCTAAGGAACTTGTTTAGTCTTCATAAGTTTATACTGCCTTTAATAATGCGTTCTTCTATCTCTTCTTTCATTTAAACTTTTTTACTTCTTCAGACTCGTATGTAGTTCCATCTTCCGCGGTTATCTTCAATCTTTTTGTAGGTCTTCTTTGTTCTTCATTTTCTTTAGTTTTGTCTTGTCTTCGTTTATCGGTAGTTCCATCCGTTTTGCTTCTTTGATAAGGTTAACCGTCATTTTCTTTAATTTGCTTACTGTTCTCGTTACGAATGTTAAGTCATCTGCAAGTGCTAGATTCTGGTGTCTTTTATCATATATGATCCCTGATCTCTGGATTCCGCTTCCTCTAATTATTACTTGCAGCGCTAGATTGAAAGAGTGGTTGACATAGGGTTTCCTTGTCATAAACCGGTGATTACTTAGAATGGCTGGGATAGTGTTCCAATACTTCTTACACGGTTTCTTGTGTTTTCTATCGTCATTCCAATGAGTCTATCATCTTATTTGGTATTTCGCATTTTGTGTTGTCATCTTTCTTTAATATCGGGCACAGTACCGCTTCTTCTCATTCTTCGGGTATTTTTTCGCTTTTCCAACATTCTACTATCAGTCGATGTATTTCTTGTATTAATTCTTCACCACCATACTTCAACATCTCGGGTCTTATTTCACTGCTGCCTGGAGTTTTGTTGTTCTTCATTTGCTTTAGTATTTCTCAGATTTCTTGTACGTCTGGCTCGCTTACTTCGTTCTGATCTTCTCGTCTATCGTTACTGAATTTGCTTATGTCTTGGTCTGTGTTCTGTTCGTTTAATAGTTCTTTGAAGTATTCTGCCCATTGTTTTAGACTTGCTTGTTCGTCTCCTATTAAATTCCCTTCTTTCTATTTGCAATAGATTACTTTTGGTTGGTAACCTTTCTTCTCTCGTGTAACATCTTGGTAAAAATTCCTTATTTCTTTCTTACAGAAGTTTTCTTTAATCTATAGTATCTGTACTTCCATGTTCGGACGTTTTTTGTTTCTGCATATTTTCTTGTATTTTCTTCTTTCTTGTTGGTACTGCTTTTGTTCTTCTTTTCTTGTTCTCATGTATGCCTCTCTTACTTTTCTTCCAGTTTCTAATGCTGTTTGATATTCGTCATCAAACCATTCGGCTTTATTCGTGTGGCTTGCCTTGAATCCTATTATGTCTTTTGTGGTAGTCCATATATTGTTTTGTAGCATTTCCTATTTTTCTTCTAGCGAGTCTGTCTTTCTGTTTTTCTTTATCCTGTCTGTCAGTTTTTGTTCGTACTGTTGTTGTATGCCCTCTTCTTTGAATTTTCTTAAATCCATCTCTCGTTGTGCCCTGTCAATTTTTTTTCTTTTTTGGTATTTCTTCTTCAATATGTGTTATTACTGAAATGTGGTCTGTACTTGATTCGGCCCCTCTATAGCTTCTTATGTTGGTGACTAGTTGTGCATTTCTTTTGTCTATTAATACATGATCTGTTTGGTTGATCGTCTTGCAGTCTGGAGATATCCAAGTGCCTTCATGTATTTCCTTGGGTGCAAAAACTGTGATTTTTACTATCATGCTGTTTTCTTGTGCAAATTCTATTAGCTTTTCTCCATTTTCGTTTGTTTCTTCAGGTTTGCTTTCTTTCCCGATTATATGTCGATATCTCTGTTCTTTACTGTTTGGCGTTCGCGTCTCCTATAACAATTTTGATGTCATATTTTGGTATTTTCTGGTATTCTTTCTCTAATTCTTCATAGTACTCTCTTTTTGTTTTTAGGTCTTTTTCTTCCGTCGGTGCTTGAATATTTATCAGGCTATACGTGCTTCGCAGTCTCAGCTAGCACAATTTTTCGGACATTGGTTTGAATGCATTCTGTTCTCGTTCCCGTTATTGAAGAATATGTAATTCCCTATTTCTGTTATGCTGTTGCCTTTTTGTTTAGTCTCTTATATCGCTGCTATAGCTATGTCATACCTTTTTAGTTCTAATGTAAGCTGGCGTAGTGCCTCTTCTTGGAACGTTCCTTGGAGATTCCATGATGCAATCTTAAGTTTTTGGTTTTTCTTTTCTTTATTCCTTAATTCGTTTTCCGTATGCTTTGCGTGAGTCGTCATCCTTTTCTGGAGTAAAAAAATGTAAATACCAGTATAACTTAAATCCAAATGTCTTCGATATTTTTAGGTAACACTATCTTGTCTTACTTCCTTACTGTTTTCTTTTATTTTCGCATTAACTGGATCTTGGTATCACCTTAACATATGAACCCTTATTAAAGAACTGCAGTAATTATAGCTGCAGTGTCATCTTTTTTCTATGTTGAGGCATATTACAATTGAGTTGGGCGTAGACCTGTTGGTCAACTTACTAGATAATAATAATAACAAGAGCTCGTTGGATGATAGATAACATATTTGATGACACAGATGACATTTGAGCAAAAGTGACAAAGTTTTCCACGTCGGTCAGTATGAAAATGATATAATCAATTGGTGGTATGTATAAAACAAAGTAGATGCTCATACACGAAGCACAAAGTACCTACTTCACAATTAGCGAGTATCTATATATAGCCTATATAGGCAAGCATCTACTCGCATGTATTTCGTGCCAAATATTAGCATCATCTAGAAAAAGTAGAAACTTTTTGAGTTGATAACTCAAGTAAAGTCTTTGCCATTTCTGTTGAAACACCACTTGTTGATCGTAAATTTGGCAACGTTCATATTCACACAATTTTCCCACTAAAAGTCGTTGTCAATCAACCGAAAACTGCTAGCAATTGCTAAATTTAGGCAAAATCAACAGGTGGAGTTTCAATAGAAATGGCAAAGACTATAGATATTCGTACTTCGAGTATGAGCATCTACTCAGTTTTATTCATACCCCCTAATATTTCGATCTGGTCGTATGTGTTACGCACATTTTAAATAATATGACGTGGTGTCTAATTTTCCAGAGAGTCATTTTCTCATATTTTTGAATCAGTGTTTTCGATAAAAAAAAATTGTTCGTTTAAAGTTTTCAATATGATTTTCTGATTGTGTTGGAGTGTAGAAATTGCGGAATCGTACCTTGCACTATCAGATGCTTCCAGGTTACCAGTAATGCTATTATCTTTCAACACCTCGCTTAAATATTGAAAAATATTCCCCAGTTTATGAAATGTGTCACCAGTATAACTTAAATTCAAATGTCTTCGATATTTTTAGGTAACATTGTCTTGCCTTACTTCCTTACTGTTTCCTTTTATTTTCGTATTAACTGAATCTTGATATAACCTTAACATGCTGAACTCTTATTAAAGAACTGCAGTAATTATAGCTGCAGTGTCATCTTTTTTTCCATGTTGAGGCATATTATAGTTGAGTTGGACTTAGACCTGTTGTAATTTATTCTTTAAAATTTTCTTCTAACTCTGCCCATTGGGCCAAGTACCTAGTAGTTATAGCTACTGGAACGAGAGTTAGTCCATCTTTCACCTACCTGTGTTGGTCTGTAATTGGGCATGAGTGCCTGTAGACCAACCGACTTAATAATAGTAATAATGATAATAATATTGGGTATTGGAATAATGTCTGTACTCCACAGATAAATTATTACATACCCAATTTTATCAACGTTCCATTTTGAGTAAGACCTACAATACCAATAATGATAATAATAATATGGGTTTCTTCTATCTTCATACGTGGCAGGGCATCTGCGTTTGTGTTTGTTTGTCTTTCTTATAAACTATATTATTATTAAGACCCAGCACTGACCCGGAAATGACAGGCATTCAGGCAAGACTTCTATCATTACGGGTACTAAGAGCAAGTAATGATATGCATTGATTAGATTAACAAAACAACTTTCGAGATTCTAGAATTACAGCATATATACAAATTATTATTTTTATTTTTATTATTATTTTATTATTTATATTGTAATGGAATTCTTCTAGTTTAATTCGCCAACGAGTTAATCTACTATCAGAATCTTTCAACGATATTAGCCAAATAAGTGGTTTGTGATCAGTACATAGTATGTTACAGTTCAAACCCGTTTTCAGTTAAACGCGTTTTCTATACTTAAAACTAGCTAGACAAAAGCATTTAGTAAAAACCAGTTTTAACTAGAGAAAATGCGTTTTAACTGAATAACGGTAATTAAATTTTGGTTAAGGGGGGGAGTAGATATATTTTGATTAAACACTTACAATGCTTACGACAATTTTAAGACGTCTGCAAGATTTTAAAGCATTCGGTTTTGCAATTTTTCATTTAATCGATAAAATAAATTGATTCATTCACTAATTTTTTTTAATAAGCATTTCCAAAAAATATGAATGAAATGATAAGACACATGGATAAATTCATCATATTTTCCACATTTTAGATAGAATTTTTTTTTTAAATCACAAAGTTTTTAGTGCGTGAAACGCTCTACCGGCAGATCTTATTAAATCTGAAAGCGTTAACACTTTGGAAACGAAGCTGCACCTCAGTTATGCGCTAGCATGCGTTTGATAATATAGTATCTAAATTAAAGTCTTTCTGAGTTGTATGTATTTTCTGACCTTAATAGGCTGTATGTAGCCTCAGCTCAAAGCACAATAATAATAATAATTTATCTTGCAAAATTTTGAGATAACGTCATCAATTTTTTGGGGGATAAACAAATATATTTTGATTAAAAATTTACCATGGTTATGATAA